GAAATGATCTTGAGACGCCTCAGAATCTTTCCGGGAATAACTTGCTGTGTTCCTCCCGAAAATCAGGAGCTGCAGAGAGGGCAGATTTAGCTCTGCCTCAGCTGTCCTGGGCTGCCTCCCTCCCACCCAGAAATCCAAATTAACCAAAGGTTAATTTGGATTTCTGGGTGGGAGGGAGGCAGCCCAGGACAGGGGTTGTGGATGTGACACCGGGGGACACGCTCAGGTGGGTTCACGGCTGGACCGGATCAATCTCAGAGGGCTTTTCCGACCTCAGCGATCCCATGAACCCCTGATTCTCAGGAAACCCTGGCATTCCACGAGCAGGCTGGCCTTGACCTGCTGAAATCATCACTGGCTCAATCCTGGGGAGCTCCCAGAACTTTGGGCAATCCCTGCAAGCACCTTCAGATGCCTCCTAAGGAGCCATTCCCACCCTCCCACCCCTTGGCCTCTCCTCCTCAATCCCTGCCCATGAAAGGCACGTCCAGGTCTGATCTCCCAACACAGAGAGACTGAAATCCTGGGACAGGATTGGTGCTGAGCTCTGGCAGCCCTGGAAGCTCAGTGTGTGTCTCCTGCTGGCTCATTCCCTCTCTCTTTCCCTGCTGGACCTGCATGCCTGGCCTGGCTCAATAAATTTGCACTTGATTCAGCTTTAATGAGACAAGTTGCATGAACGCCAAACAACTGGTTTGTTTACATCAGATTAACGAGGCTGGTACTAATTATGTCCATTTAACTTCCCATATTTTCCTTGTAAAAGCACTAATTAAGACATGATGCTCTCACTGGTGTCAAATGGCTGTTCAACCCAGGCAGAATTCAAGTTTTACTCGCACCTTCTTCTTCTTCCTAATTTTTATTAAAATAAAAAAAAACCCACAAGCTTTTTTTTTATTCTGGCTTTTTTTATCCTGGTTGTTAATCCACAGCCAGGCTCTGAGGAGCCTGTTTTGATTCCAGCAGCTCTAACGCAGTGAATGTAACTCAATTTGCATTTTTGCAGTTAAAATGAGTTCATTCAGCACCGACCAGAGTCTGCAGCAGGTCAGGACAGAGCCTGTTGCCTGAGCCAGACCTAAATTTCAATCCTCCTGAAGTTCAGTGGATTATTTGTGCTGGGTGTGATGACCTAGATAAATCTGTTATTGATGTTTTAAAAAAGAAAATTAGTCATTTAGAGCAGTTTATAACACTAACAGGTCCCCTTTACTGCGTCCTTAGTCCTGCACTGTAAGAGCGTCTTTACCTGTTAAATCTGAATTAAATGAGTGGATGAGGCAGGAATTTGAAAACTCCTCCATAAAGCTGGGCAGAGCTGCTGGGTTATTCATTCCTCGTCCTAAAGGAGGCTGAGGAACCGGTGGAAATGACCCCTGAAGCTTTAAAAAAAATGCTTATTTTATTTTATTTATTTCTTCCCTTCAGCTCTGAGTGTCCCCATCCAAACCTCAGCTTTATTCCGTGTTTCCCCCCTGAAATCAGCAGCTCCTCTGCAAAAACTGTGCCCAAAACCTCCCCCAAACGACCCCACCACGGTCCCTGAGGTGAAGTTTGGTCCCAGCAAGATGCTGCTCATTAGGAAAAAGACAAGGAACAAACTGATGGATGAGGAGAGGGCTGAGAGGGGAGTTGAATTTTGTTAAACTACATCCAGAACGATGAAAAAGGATGGAGCGGAACAGAGAGCTGAGGAGAGCTGCTTGTGCCACCAGCACGAGTGGGGACAACACAGACACGCAGACAGAAACACGCTGTGCCCAAAAAACACCAACCAGAGATGGACAGGAGGGAATGGGAAGAGTCAACACAGCCACAGCCTGCAGGCAATGCCCAAATATTCACTTAGAAGGAACAAACAGAGCAGCTATTCCCACTTATTTCCTTCTGAGCAGCACAATGAATATTTCAAAGGTTCGTTTCTCACCAAGTATCTAAAATTCAAATGCAACCTTTATCCTGGATCTCTAAAGATCTCCCTAAATACGAGCTGATTCCATCTACTGTGGCACTGAAATTCAGCTAAATTGACAGTCTCAGCTATGACATATTAGCTATGGATTCAATATAACAATTTAGGCTGATAAGTTATCATTACAGCATTGTGTCTGAGTAAAAATAGGGGAAGAATTTAGAAAAAAAGGAAAGTGCTCCAGAAATGAGGGGTTTGATGAGCCCACAGAACCTTCCCGGATCTTTACAGGGGTTTTTACATAAATAGAAGGAATTGGGAAAGCAGTTTGCATCCCAACTGGAAAAAAAGCATTTTCTTACAGGACTGAACATGAATAAAAGAAGGGCACAGGCTTAGCCCAATCAGGGGGGGAAATAGCACTCAACAGGGCCCTTCCAGCACCTCCTGAATCTAAACTTCACTGTTAAATACATTTTATAGTTGACTCAAGGCAAAACCAACATTCTTTCTTATTATTTTGACTGTTCAGAACTGAGTAACGTTTTCCTGCATGGCCCATCCTTCCACAGTCAGTGAAAACAGTGTTTAAAAGCAGAGTCTGCCCTCAATCCCAACCCTCCTCTCCCATTCCCTGTGTTCCACTCCCATCTGAACTGCATTAGAGACCACTGCAATATTTTATGGCTCTATTAAAATGCTGTCCCCACCACTTGTGCACATCAAACCCTCTAATTAGAAATCATAATAGAAACCCAGGGCAGGAAGTTCTTTGCTTTCCATCTGCTTTTTATCAGGTTCCTCAAACCCAGCCAGATCCAGGGACAATCAACCAACATGTGTTTGGAAATTCCTTAGTGGCAAAGAGCTTCTCTCTGCAGATACACAGTGTCCTGGATGCTCTGCACATCATATTTTGATTAAAGAAAATAAAGCTGGCCAGTTATAAGTAGGGCTTATCAAGGCCAGATCTAAAACTTCCCGTTAATTCGAGATGAAATAACCCTGCTAATGTCAAGTGAGGACAACAGCTCCAAGTGAGACTTTTAGGGAAGGCTCTGATCCTTGGGAAAAGTCAATCTGGTATTTCAAACAGAGGTAAAGAGGGGAGATAACTGATGTGGACATTTAAGAGTATGAGAAACCCCCAGTGTATTTCACAAGCACTTTCCCTCTAGCAGAGAATTCCTTGAGTCCTCCAGCACCACATCCAACAGAGCCTTAACCATGGAAACCTCCTCCCTGGCTCCTTCTTGCTCCCACCAACTTCTGCAGCACTCATGGAAGAGTCTCCAGACTCCTCCTCCACCACCCAAGTGCTGCTAATTCCAAGGTAAAAGCTGGAATAAAAACCACAATGCACCAAAAAGCTCCTATCAGGAATCTGTGTGCAGAGCAGGGGCAGGCCAGGATTACAGAGTGAGCTGCACCATCACTCCAGCAATTCCTCACATCTGCAGGCTCATCAGTGCTCTCCTCCAGGAGCCTTTAATTGCACCCCCAAAGAGCCCCCAGGGCAGGTCAGCAGGGCAGCCTCGTGGCTTGGCAGCATCTCCCAGTTCAGTGCTTTTAACAGGGCCTGGGCTCTTGGTGTCCACTTTATCCCAAACATTTCCCAGGCTGAGGGAGGAAATCCACCCCCACGTGGTGTTGTTAAAGCCCAGGGGGATCTGTTCATCTGCTGCTCCATCATCTCCCACCAGGGCAGAGCAGGACACTGCTCACCAGCAGCTCCAGCTAATTCACTGCCTGGGCCATGTTCAGTAATAAACACTTATGGTTGTATCTACTGGCCTGGCCTGTGCTTATTTTAGGTTTAAAGTTGCCCCTGCCTGATCAGGGTTGGGCAGCTGCCCTGCCTGAAGTTGCCCTGCCTGCTGGAGGGCAGATCCTGGACCCAGGGAATGCCCCCCTGCTGCAGCCAGGGATCTCTGTGCCACTGCCTGCAGCAAATGCATCTGCATATTCCCAGGAATAACAAAGGCTGGAGGTGCCAGTGGCTGGGAACACCATTCCCCTGAACTGCCAGCTCTCCAAAGCACACACAGAGCACTCACAGCTCAGGGTGACCACGACTTTCCACTGCTGGGCCCAAACTCCCAAGCTTTGATCTGATAAAATGCATTTACTGCCCTTAGAAAAAGTGACACTTCTTAATTGCATCTGTTTGCCTTAAAGAACCAAGCCAGCAATCTTCTAAGATAAGGAACACCATTAAAATAAGAGAAGAGGAATGAAAAGAACACCAGTTGAACATCAACTCAACTTGCCAGCTGAATAACATTTTAAGAAAGATCTGCAAATCCAAACTGCTTCTCTTGATAGAAAAGATACACAGAAATATCTTCATCTATGGTAATATATAGGTATTTTTTAGAAATTTCAGAAATAAACAAAAGCTTCACCCCCAGTAATTTCTGCCACCACAACTAAGTGTGATTCCTTCCAGTGCATACTGGAAGCGCGGGGAGGTTGACAGTAAAATCAGATCCAAAACCTGATTCTCTATTTATTGTTCCTCTCCTCAGCAGAGCTTGGGATTAACTTGCCTGTATTTCACACAGAACTGTCCAGAAGGCAGGGGAAGAAGATGGAGCCACACACCCAGAGCACAGCAATCAGGATTCCACAAGTTCTGTTCTATCCAACTTTCTCCATCAGTCCTCAAACACCAAGAACCTTCCAGTACCAGATGAATCTATCCCATCTCAGTCAGCAAAAGCACTCTGTTTGTGTGTTCTGAACAAAAAAAAAAAAACCCTGACATGCAACCCTCCCTGCACACCAGCACTGAAACCCTAATTATAGATTGCTCAAAGTATCTAAAATTCTTTACAAGCTTAAAATCTCTCAAGTCAGGCAGGAGATGGATGGTGATGTGAGTTTACACAACAAGGGGAAGACATTTAACAGTGGGAGCTGCTCAGAGAGAGGAAATGGGGGTGACCAACACAGAGAAGGAACGTGGCACGTGCAGAGGGTGATCAACACACATGATACATGTACATGAGATGCTGGGCACGGGGCAGCACCAGGATAACTCCATTTCAGGTCCCTGCAGCCAAAAAAAAGCAGATTTGCATACCTGGTTTGGGCACCGAATTGGTGACGGACTGAGGGACTTTGTCGTTAATGAGCTCAACGCACTCACTCGGGAAAAATCCAACCTGTGGGGAAACAGAGAGAGGCAGAACATTGGTTTGGGTGATCTGAACTATTCAACCAGCAACTGTTAATTAAATATGTCCCCTGAACTCCCCTGGCCTCATGCCCCATAACATTATCCATCATCAAATGGCCAGCATGAGAGAAAGAACTTCTCAGATTAGTTATCACAGTTATTTAGTATTTCTCAAAGAAAAAAGGCAAAGGTTCTACAAACCAAATCATTAGTCCTGTAAAATATGATTTTATAAGTGTGGTTGCTCAGCCTGTACACAGGACAGAGATAATTCAACTTGCAACAAGTGCCTACACACCCTTAGATCTCGAGTGGAACTCAGAGACAGAAAGGATTTAGCTGGGTTTGCTGGAGCTCTCTAACAGAAATTTAATGCAGAGAACAAGATGTGTCAGCTCTCAGCATCATCTCAGTCATCTCTGCTCAAACCTCACTCGACCTTTTTCACTGCCAAAACACAACACTCACAAGCACTTTAACATTTTATCCCCTTGGAAAACCGAAATCAAATATGGGCCAATGTACTTGCATGGGGTGGGCCCATTACAGAAAAAAAAGGCACTTTCTTATTTGCTAAGTCAGAAGAAGACACTTTGAAGACATAAACCATTTTGTGCCTGACCTGCTGAGTGTGGGTAACAAGTGAAGTGTTCAAACTGAGCACGTTTAAAGACTTTTTACTCCCATGCCAGGTGAAAGTCAGAGACCAGAGCAGAGCTTTGGAAACCTTTACCCTTGGTTTCCTATTTCCAGACCCTTTTCCCTGTCACACCCCAGCTCCTGTGTTGTGACACAGAGCTCCAGCACCACCCCCTTTCCCAGACACCCCATCCAAGGCAGGGCAGGATTTCCTGGCCTGTGTCAGGCACGTGATGGGACAGCTGGAAGCACCAAGGCACTGCAGGCAGCCCCAGTCTGGTCCAAAGCCACAAGAACACGTGGCAAAGAGCCAGTGGATGGGCCTGGATGCTGCCAGTCATGTACCCACATCCATGAAATCCACTGGAGGCACAGGGCAGTCAGCACCAGGCCTGGCACACAGTTCCCCCTCTGTTTATTCATCTTACACAACTCCCTTTTGTCTCTGAGGAAAAAAAAAAATTCATCTCCTTCCTACGCCAAGTTGATTTTCCCCCATAAACCTCCCAGTGGAAGTGTCATGTGTGGGGTGTCCTGGTAAACATTCCAGACTGGAACTATTCCAAATTCCCTAAGGGAAGCAACAGCTAATAACACCAGCAGATAACTCCTCTTCCCACACCCCCAAAATCCAGCAGGGCTGCGGTTTAACCAAGTACAGGACAAACTGTCACCCATCACACTTCATGTTCCACACTTGGAATGTGCATTTTGTGAAGGCTCTGAGAGCTCAGGAACAGAACCTGGAACAGCAGCACTTGGCCAGCACATCTCACTGTCCTGAGCTGTGGTTCCCTGGGACTGGGACTGTGCTGGGCATCACAATTCTGCCCCAGTGGCTCTCAGAGCCTTTCCCAAAACCCTACACAAGGTGTGGCTGTACCCACTCCCTCAGCTGGGCGTGCCAGCTTTGCCAGGAGATGGTGTCCTGGAATTATAGTGCTGATTTTTGTACAGTTTATAGGTAGAAATGGGACAATTAGCACAAGAAAAGCAGCAGGAACATCAGCATGGCATCCAGGGGCCCTTCCTCAGGCAGCTCAGGGATCCTGCTCTGCTGGGAGGTTTTGAGGAACAGGCTGAGTGGGACAGGCACAGAAGTGCTGGGATTTAAACAGAACATTCGTGGGTTTAAATCACAGAACCATAAAATGGTTTGGATTGGAGGGGACCTTGAAGATCATCCAGTGCTACCCCCTGCCATGGGCAGGGACACCTTCCACCAGCCCAGGTTGCTCCAAGCCCCGTCCAACCTGGCCTTGGACACTTCCAGGGATCCAGGGGCAGCCACAGCTTCTCTGGGCAACCTGTGCCAGGGCCTGCCCACCCTCACAGTGAAAAATTTCTTCTGTATATCTAAGCTGAATTTCCCCTCAGTCAGTTTGAACCCATCCTCCCTCGTCCTGTCCCTGCAGTTCCTGAAACACAGTCCCTCTCCAGCTTCCCTGGAGCCCATTCAGGCACTTGGAAGGTGCTCTGAGTTCTCCACACAACCTTTTCTCCTCCAGGCTGAACCTCCCCCAACTCCAGTCCTGAGAGTCTCTGCTGGACACTTCCCATGCAAGAGATGCAGAAGACAATTTTTAAATCAGGAAAAATATGCTCATCCAGGGAAAGTCTCAGCCCAGCACACAGACGATCACCTGGGACACTCCACAGCTGAAGGGATGAACTTCCTTTCCATTTCCAGTGCTCTGAGAACTTTTATAATTGCCCACAGTGTCTGTGCCTAAAATGTGTAATGAAACCTGGAGTACTGGGCCCCCAACCTTCCATTAATCATCTCAGTGTGGATGTAAATCCAACCCCAGGTCCCACACTGCAGTCAGAACTCATTTCCTTTGACTGTTCCCATAATATTCCTCCTGTTTCTGGATGGACTGTCCAATACACTCAACAGGAATTCAGAAATGAAAGACCCTGAGTGGTTATGTCACTGCTCCTAGAGAGCTCAGAACCCAAATCAAACACTATACCTGCTCTCAGTGTATCGCTTTTGCCATGTTCACACCAATAATTACAATGGATTTTTTTAGGGAAAAAGAATTTTCACAAGTTGACAAGCCCCCTGGTGTTACCCCACTGCTCACAGTCCAATGAATTACATTTTCTGACTTATTTATTCTAACTTTTATCTCAAGATCCCCCAGAGATCGTCACCAGGGTCACAACCCACAGCTTGTGCCTCGTTCCCACCCAATTAAAAGATGCTTTTCCTCCCCATGGAAAGTTTTCCATGATTTTGTATAAATAAAGGAGTTTAGTCCAAGAGTTAATCTCAACAGATGTAGCAAGGCACTATTAGAGCTTGAGCCAGGATTAAAGGATTTGGCAACGTCCGAAAATTAATAGCCAGGGGGGTATAAATTTAGACAAATGCAAGGTCATCTAAAGGTTAAAAAATTCCCAACACACCTTAACCAGAGGGGGAAGGCTCAGGCTGGTGGTGCAAACAGTTCTGCAATGGCTACTATAGATTTATTTTTCACTTTCGTGCCAGTGGCTGCTAAAACTGGAAGTTACATGAGGTTTTAAGGGGAAAAGCCAATAATAATTTTCCTCTATAACAATAATAATTTTCAGTGTATGAGGAGGGAATTTAAATAAGTGAGAAAGCACCAGCAACATAAACGGCAAATCAAACATTGTCTGAGTCATTTTGGTTGTGGTTTTTCTCTTTGTTTTGACATAATGTAAAGTGTGGTTTAAATTTCAGTCAAAGTCCCCCTCCAGTTGCACACACCAGTTTTGTCACCTCACAGGGTTGCTGTGGGGCAGCTCTGCCCCTCGTGAAACCATTCCCAAAATCCAGAATTACTCAGAGCATCCACAGGCAGTGGATGTGCATTAAAACAAGGGCCTGTCCCCAGTGATTCAGCTGACACGGAGTCACTGCTGGAAAAGACAAAGCACGAAGCAAAGGCAGAGGAGAACAAAGAAGGCTGGAAGGCTGGTAATGTGGAGGTGGCTGTAATTTAGGTAACGATCTTACAAAGAAAGCAGTGACTCACACTCAGAGCATCTGCAGAGAAAAAAGGCTCGAGGAAAAATGTCTTTAAAAAATCATTTTGCCTTAAGCAGAGAAGATGCTGAGAAGCCTCGTGGGTTGTTTTGCACAGGATGAAGTGTTGCAGTGCAGTGGTGAGCTCAGGTAGGGGAGCAAGGCACTGAACCGTGGAAATCCATGGACAACCAAAATGGTGAGCCATTCCCCAGGGACAGCTCTGCCTGGCAGGAGCACCCTGACCCTGGGGATCCAGGCTGCAGTTCACACTGGCCTGTCCCACCTGCTTTCCACTGACCTGCCCCCAGTCCATCCCTCAGCCCTCCCGTTATCCCACAGGATGGGGATGAGCAGGACAACGTCCTCCTGCCCAGGACTGCGTGTCCTCCTGCCCAGGCAGGCACAGCCCACAGCTGCTCTGAAAGCACAAAACCAGGTGAGTCTTTTCAAGTCAAGACGTGAATTTTCCCCCCCTGTTCAGTGAAACAGGGGATTTTTTTTTATCCTGTTCTTGCTCTCCTCCTATCAAGACATGATTGATGATGGAGGCTGTGGTGGGTTTGATAAAACACTGCTCCTTCCCCAGCACAAAGCAAAAAACTGAGAAAAAACATGAACAAACTGTCCAAATATTTGGTGTCAGGACTTTGTCCTTTTATCTGCCCTCAGAATCACAGTTATCTGGCAAGACAGGCTCTGGTGATTTATTTGATTAATTCAAATGACTGGATCAACAGATTGCTATCACTTTTACAGTGTTCCTAAACAGGAACAGAACTGTTTGCCTATCATAAAGTACTTACACCGAGTACTATAACAACATTCCTCCCCTCCACACTCCTCATCCAGGGCACTTGTGCACTGCTACATCTCTAGGTCTGGTGCAGGAACATGGCAGTGGGCTGTTCCCCCATCAGCAGCTCCTTCAAACACAACTTCTCTGTCTGCACTTGGGAAACACAAACCCAGGAGCCACAAACCCAGGGCTGAACTTGCACAGAGCGTGAGGCTCAGTGTCATCTGAGCCCAGGGGGACAGACTTCTGCTTGTAATTAAGGGACACAAGATTATTCCACCCCTAATTTTCTGCTAAGCCAGAATATGGTGCTGTGTTTCTGCAGCTGTTCAGGTCTGTGGTGTCAGGAGCCTGGCTGTGCAGGGACACAGACAAATCCTTTTCCAGGAAGCTTCATCAAATGTGGTTTTGTGCTGGGAAAGCACAATGGGATCTGATCTGGGAGGCACAAGGCAGTGACAAACTGCAGAAGAGCTGCCTTGCTTTTTGTGCCTTTAATCACCAGTGATACTCTTCAGACCGAGCCCCAGTTTCAGCCAGGCTGATGGCAGGCAGGGAGCTCACACTGAATAATGGAATTATTACCAACCCTGGTAATCCATCAGTGTGTGCAGAGTGTCCACACTCATGCCCAGATCACAAAGTAGCTTTATTTTGCTTTACTGATTCATTTGGAAGTTAAATGTGACATGGCCTGATCATTCCAAGCAGTACTAAAGCACTTAATATTTGGGGGTTGTAACTGCTTGATCTCCAAGGTCCCTTCCAAACCAAGCCATTCTATGATTCTATTTAATAGTACAGCAAATAAAGCTCTGAGGCTTCTAAGATTAGAACAAAAGTCCAGCAAAGCCATAACACAGTTCAAACCCAGAAGTTTGTTCAAGCAATATCAATGTGTTAACTCTGGAGACAAATCTAATTTCAGAGCAGGTATCACATGTCCACGCTCTTCTGATTGTACAAATTAGATGTTATCTGAACTCTCACATCTGATCCAGAGCCAACAAAAGCTCTGGCTGGTCAGGCAGCAGTGTGATCATTTAACTACCACTGCATCCAGCTGGGATTTGTGGTGTTTGGAGATCCAACTGCTCCCTGACAGCCGGGCCACGAGCTGGACCTGGCACAGAAAGGTCTGTCAGGGAAAAGCTGAGGAACCTTGAGAAGACTTTCCATGCCAAAATACACAAGTGTCTGGTCAATTCTGACCCTCTCCAGAGCAAACTCACAATTCCACTCCCTCACAGACAGCAGCTGCTGGATCAAAATCCCTCTCTGCCTGAAAGGAGCTGAAACATGAAACACAGCACAGGTCACACCCCTCAACCTTCAGCAGCTTTGGGGTTTGCTTTGTTAATAGAGACTTCTTCATCTTTTACATTTACAATGAGAAAATAAAAGAGGGAAATGAGAAATGAGAAAAAAATGAGGGAATAAAACTCTATGGAAGGACAGAGCCATTTGGGCACAGAAGTTTTGGTGCCTAATTCCCAGCTATGTTCAGGACCTTGTGAAAATTCAGTCTAAATCTCTCTGCTGGAAGGTTTACAGAGCCCAGAGAGCACAGCTTGGATGGGTGGCTTGTCCAAGTCAGTGCCACTGTTTTGTCAACTGGAGTTCTCGGAACCCTCGACGTTCTGCCTGAGCTGGTTTCAGCTCCTGGAAGGAACGGGGTGATGTGAACAACAGTGTCAGCTGCCTTGGAGGGGGACAGCACAGCTTCCACAAACATCAGGCCAGCTGTCCATCACAGGGCCCTCCTTCCCACGGGAGGCAGGGAGCAACCTTCCCACGGAGTCCCTGGGTGTGCTCCAGCCCCAGCCCAGGGACAAGGGAAGTGCCCTGGCACCAACACAGGACACCCTGCTCATCCCCACACTCAGCCCTGGGCAGCTCCAGGAACAAACAGACTGCTGAATTACCTGCCTTTATTGAAGTTTGATCATCATCTCTGGTGCTTGTGCCTACCTGAAATCCATGTTTTCCTCTCCACCACGAGGTCAGCTCCTTTGGTGGCATGTCAATGACGGACACGATATCTCCCACCTGCACAAGATTGACAACATCAATCACAGCCTGCCACGAGCACAATCCCAAGAACTACAGCCCCCAGCACGGCAAGAAACTGAAAACTCCACATCTGCCTTTGCAAAGCCGAGCTGTGAGGTGGAAGAGTTACTGGATTCTCCAGCTGTTCCTAAGGAAAGGGGCCTTAAGAGCAGCAAGATCTCTGCCAAGGGGTACAGGAGTGTTCTGATTAAACTGTAGGGATGGTGTCAAACACTTTGGGAAATACTCTCAAGCAGCTGAACTAATTTTTACTGCATGCCCTATCCATGTGTGTGTGGGCACTGACACGTGTCTTCTCGTTTCCTCTCACAGCAACAAGTCAAGAGCTGCCTTCGTAGCTCCCAAAGTGCCCCAGATGTGCTGGTCTGGGTGGGGAAGGGAGCAGAGGAGAGGGGGTGTCACAGCAACAGGATGGAAATGGCCAAGGAGACCAAACAGGTTTCCTGAGGCTTTGCTCACTACCCATAAAAATGCAATACTGCAATGGCTCAAAAGGAAATCAGAGTAATCAACACTACACTGGGCTTAGTCTGAGTCAAGCTCTGTGTGGGCTCTATTACAGAAAATAACAAGGGGCAGAACTTAAATAAATCCTGCAGGCAGGGAGAGCAAAAACTGGCACCAGTAAGGCCCAACCTTCACCAGATGTTTGGCACTGATGGATCTCAGTGTGTTTTACAGAAAAGACAACACATCCCCAGTTTTCAGCCAGGGATAAGGGAGACACAGGGAGGGGATTTCCTCAAGGCAAAGCAAGTCCTCACTAAGGAAGCTGCTGTCACCACACGAGCAGAGACACTGGGTGTGTTCCTCAGTCCTGGGGGGCAAATCCCACTCAGCTACTTGTGCAACTGCCCACTGAAAATCAAGAATATCCTCAAAATGAAAGGGATGATTTGGGTTAGGGAACAGGACACAGCATTGTGAAACAGCTGCTCCTGTTCCATGTCTGTCCTGCCAAGGTTTCTCACTGCACACACTCGGGAAGCCACACGTGCCTCAGTTTCCCTGCTCACTCCAGCTGCATTCCAGCCTGCTGGCACAGAGCAGGATTTACAAGCAGGGAGTGCCATCTCAGTGCCCTCATCAGCACTGAGCCCCTGGCAACAGCCTGGCCCCTGTGCTCCATAGATCCTGTGCTCCATGGATCCTGTGCTCCATAGATCCTGTGCTCCATGGATCCTGTGCTCCATGGATCCTGTGC